ATATGACATAATGTTATATTGTAACTGTTATTGAACTCACTAAGTGTCACCGTTTATCCCTCTCAGTGTTTAATTATTGCAGGTGATAAGCATCCAGTATGGTTACGTACTGTTAGAAGATGTAGAATAGATAATATTATAGTTTTTGTATTTTGTGTATAAATTCCTGGGAAGTATTGTAATATACATAAAACTTTGTAAAAACTTCGTTAGTCGGTTTGTATCCAGTCTTTTGTAATAAGACCATATATGAAAAAAATATGTTTATGAATATGCATGTAGCATGTTTGGAGTAATAATGTAAAAGTTTAGAAAATGGGTTCTTTCACCTCTCAATGTTAATCTTGAGGGGGGGGGGGGTGATAAATATCAAATGATTTATGTCAAGATTAACATTATAAGAAATATTTATTATCAGGGTAAGAAATGTAATTTATGAGGATTTGGTTTGTGAGTAATTTCTTGTACATGGTGTGTTTTGTTGTTTTATGATTCTTCAGGCTTGCGGCTCACTATTTAGATTTCTGTATAAACATGCTGATTTGTCTTCGGGTATGGTTCAGGTTTTGAATCCGGGTTAAACCGGATTTGAACCGGATGTTGACCCAAAGTATATATGTTTGGCGTGCAACTGTGGATGATCATAATTTATTTTCACAACTTTGTATCGGTTTTACTTTGCTCTCGTTTCCTTTCACTCATCTTCTTCGTCTAGATTAGGGTTCTTCCCTGATTATTATTTTGAGTCAGTAATCAGAGTCTTAAATTCTTGTTTTCTGTTTGAGTTTGAGAGTTTATGTAGGTAAGGTTTCAGTTGTAAGTACATGAAAACCAACTGAATCTTATTTTCCTTTAATGAAAAGATATGTTGATGCTGTGATTATATGTTATTTGTGTTACTTTGAGTTTTTGAACACCTATCTCTCTTGCATTTATGGTTATAATATTTATCTAATAGATGTTGGTTCACTCATTCTCTCCAACAATCTTTCCAACGTACATAGGCAACCATCCATATCATAGCCCATCATGCCACCATCATCAATTAATTGTTGTAATTTTTCCACCATTGCCAATCCTCCATTCACCCTAGACTTAGACCTTTTTCTTGATCTGGTAAACACAGTGTAGCATTTAGTTGACTATCCCCTCCCCCCATCTACTACATCATTAGGTTGTGCAACAGGTTTCATCGAGTGCTTTAAATGTTCAAATCTCGGAGGACAACTAACTTCAATCAAATCTTCATTATTATCAGGTATATTTTCACTTTGAGTATTACCCATCTCATTATAATCAACTTTTTTACCAGATTTTTGTGATACATGGGTATTTTCAACAACATTTGACAACCTATCTATAAATTCATAATTATTCTCCAAACCTGTATTGTTCTGATCTACCATATTCATAGCATCATTTTGTTTTTGAGATTCTTTTACCACATCTTCATCTTCATAATAAGCCTCTTCATTATTCTCCATAAATTCTCCCTCTAAATCATCTTGATTTTGGTTTGTACTACTTATTTCCACATCATCGCGTATATCAGCTTTCCATATTCCTATTTCCTGGATTCTAACCTAGTACTCCTCACCTTTAATACAAACCATAACCATCTTTGAAATAATATGTTTTTGTTTTGTACTTACATAAAATCGAACACAACTAACCGCGACATCCTGATCATCCTCAAAAAAACATAAAATTTCCCCAGAAAGCCCCAATCCACTTGAATGCCGAGAACCCCATGCACACAGTGGTAGACCTTCTACTTCTAACCAGACCATTCTCTCCTCAACAACAGAGTTCTTCTTAAGTTGTGTTGTGTCTTTAAAGAATCCTTTAATTCTAATATTCGTTTGAAAAGCTTGGCATGCATCAATGTTCGGGAATTCAAGCCACACCCATAACCCACCAACATGACGGATTACCAACCCAGTAAAACCCTCATTCAAACATATTCTATATAAATTTTGCATGACATAAACTTCATGTACCTTGGTTAAAACTATTTTAGATGAGTCTTGCACAATTAACAAATCTTTATCCTCCAAAACTAGCTTCTTAGGTTCATTTACACTTTTACTCTCCTTCCCAGTCAAACCCTTACCAGCCGCCACTGATGCATACGAAGGTTTCTGGACACCTTCCTTAGTCAATTTACCCAACGCCTTGTTAAGTTGATCATGATATCCTAGTTTTGGTTTCTGGAACCTCACCACTGAGACAAAAAGATGGAAACTCCTAATCCATATATTCGACATTAATCTAGCCATACTATCATGATCCTCTACTCCAGTGAATCTAACAAATCCGAATCTCTTTCCTATTTTCGATTGCTTTCTTGCAATATAAGCATCTACAAATTTTCCAAACTTTGCACACACCTGCCATAAGCCTATTGAATCCAGTGTATTGGGAAAATTAGTGACATAGAATGTAGGCGCATTACGTTAAACCTTCTTTGCATAAGGATTGGTTATCAGCTTGCTAGTTTCTCCATGTATCCATTGACTTTTCACCATATTTTTTGAATTTGACGTTTGTTTCTTGCCTATCTTCCACATCCATCCATCTTCATTCGTAAATCGAAATCTTCCTTCCTCCATCTTCTTTCAATTATCTTGAATATCAGGGGTGTTACATTATTTGACTATTGCTAACATGAATCAACACAACGAAAAAAAATACACGAGTTAAAAAGTAGGAATTTTGACTCCGAAATTCTAAATTTGAAGAACATTTCTGAAATGATTTTCCTAAATGATACCGGGGAACATGTACTAAAACAAATGCAATATAACAAAAAAAACGAATAAACACACACACACACACACACACATATATATATATATATATATATATATATATATATATATATATATATA